ATAAGTTAATATTTCTAGGATGTAGGGATGGAGTATAATTACTGCTAAACTAGTCAGAGCCCACTTGTGTAGCAATCATTTGCAGTGTACACGAACGCGGACTGAAAAGTCAAGTTACATAATCATAGGTCAAAAATATTTAAAATTAGCGGCTAATTGGCATAATTGCAACAATCGTACTGTAATACTGGTATCAGTGGAATTTTAAAATGCTAAAAATCCATAGATATAGTTCGGTTAAAAAGAGCATACCACTTTCATACGCAACAGTGTCAAATGGCAAACGGCTGTCGCTAAGTCGTTTGGTACGGTGCGCGATTTAAAAAGTGGATAATTATCATGTTTTAGTGTCCACTGAGCCAGGGCAGGGCGCTGTAAAACACAGTGTTTTACAGCGCCCTGGCGAGCTCTCCTCCGCCTTCCCTACATCCAATTTAGAAAAATTATAAAATGAGTAACGACTAATCATGTTGAAAACGAACAAATCGTCTAGTATCAGCGTCTTATTTTGCGTGAAACGTCATATCGAATATTTCTTTCTTCGTGAATGGTGAAATGACGTACCGTTTTATTTTTCCGTGAAAGTTGTGAAACGTGACCAGTACCCGCCCCTCTTTACCACCCTCTGAAGCGTTTTTTTTTGTGGATACGCATGGAATGCAGATCAAGTCTCTGGATCAAGTCTACATTCAACTTAATTTCTCCACGCAGGGGTGTAGGAGCTGCACGGAGTCTTCAAATAATTAATTTTCGACCATCACGACGAACCTCTAGATATAACTTTAAATGAAGTATCACATATGCCGCTTACTCTGCATATTGAAGGCACCATTTCTAATTTAGGCGTGTCACAGTGATAAGAGTGTCCCCGTGTTTTGTGTATCCCCCACACTAATATCCCTAGGGGATAGCGAAAGGATGCAATATTCAAAATATGAGCAGGAGGAAAGTCATTTATCTGTGCCTTTATTTTCCGGTATTAAGTATTTACGTTTTTACAGCTGTTATTAAATGCTGCAGTAAATGTGTATAATGTGATTGTGCTTATGTTGTAAGATAGCATGTTCGCGTCGCATAAATTGGTGTAGAACATACAGGAAGTTTAAATATTACAGAACTCCACGAGTATTTGCAGTAGAAATACGAAAGTACCACCAAAAAAATCCGCTTGAAAAGTTCTATAAAATCGAACAATGTAAAATAGCCATAAATTATAAACTAGGCATACTTGAACAATGTAAATTAACCATACCATACTATATACAACAAGACGCCTGCTCAGGCGTTCACACTGGCCTGAAAATGGCAACTTTCGTGGTACTGGGTGTAATGTGCAGTAGAGAAGTAGATAGGGATACAGGATCATAGGGATACTGGATCATATAAATACAACCAATAAATACAATCATGATCAGCAACTATCAACCATAATATACAAAGACGCCGGCTCAGACGTACCCTCCGGCTACGCGCAACTTAACCTGACAAGCCAGGCCCACTGTAACTATGATCATCAACTACCAACTGTAATTAATGACGGGCCAATAATAGCGAAGAAATTATATAGTCCTTGATTTTTAATGCCGTTATATGGCTACTTTCAGGTGCTAAAAAGTTCATAGACATAGACGATTCTTCCATTTATACTAAGATAAACTGATCCCAACCCAAAGCCCTTCTCTAACCCCAACCAGTAAACATCTAATAAACAATTTGAGAATTAAAAAAGTGGGGGGGAGGGGAAGTTGGATCTTGTTCCAAAAACAAATCGAACTGTATCACGTTTCACATCGCCGCACGCAACGCCACCTCGCTGAATCAATCGAAAACATACATTTTATAGTAAGATATGATGAATTAGAAAGTAATTTGGCGCAAATTAATGTAATTAGGTGCAAATTTATAATTATGCAAATAAATACAAGAGCACAACGTATATTTATACTTGTTAATTAAAAAGTCAAACTGTCAAACCTTATATTAACCTTGTTTATATTCCACTATATTGTATAAATTCGCTGGGTCCAAATTTTTGGGTTTTCGAGTCGTTACACAAAGAAAAACACACTAATTCAACACGCAAGAAAGGCCAGAGTGCGACACAATGTAAAATCCATAGGAAACCGGCACAATTCTTTGAAAATTCAACGAAACTGTGTGAAATATATATTAGATCACTCAGTGAAAAGCCGCCATTTTGAAACTGAACTGAATATGTCACTGGAGCACGTTGCACCCTGAGCCTGCGATGACCTAACGCAAACTCCATTTCTCGTCGAAAACAGAAAAAGAGGGATTTAATACACTTGGCCTACAGGCCAGTGTGATAAACTCGAAGAATGTAAACAATGCATCACTAAGCCATACCTTTCGCCGAATATAACTTCGGCCCCTTTCAACATATCTTTTTGGTATTAGTCTTGTTCGAAACACAATCCAACACACTATTTAGAGTGTTATTTTCAAGCTTGCATGTGCAGTTATACTGTATATAAATAATACACATTGTTTGTAATAAATTAGCTATAATTATTGTCCAAAGTCAGCTATATTTAAACTGTTTATTTTGATGTAATGTATCCAATGAATATTAAATATTTTGTGGTCTGACCTGTAGCCAATCTGTGATATGAAAGTTTACTTTATATAAACATAGCTTGATATAATTTCCGTTGCCATGGATGCACGTCTGTTAATCGAGACTTTTAACAGAGCAACAAAATACTATGGACTATGACAATATGTGCAAATAGTCATAGACTACATTATTTAACTTGATCCAGTGTATAATCATGGTAGATAAGGGCCACGGATAAGCTTGTGCTATGTAATTATAGAATTAATGCGAAACATTGAGATTAAAGTATGTAGATATATGCATGTTGCTATAATTATTTGCTACTGTAAACTCCCAATCTGATCTTGGCTACTATATGTTCTGTTGTTGGTTATTAAAGCCTCTTAATGGATAGAGGCATGGCGGACAAAAATTGCTTGTCTACTGATATATATTTGAAGCTCTCTAAGACTAAAACAAAGCTATTTCTATTGGTTAGTTCTCTGAAAAAACATATTAGTGCGACAGTGATTATACTGATTAAGACTGTGTCGAATGTAATGTCATGTTCATAATATACTAACTTACTTGGAACAACAAAATTGTCTATAGGCTGTCCTAAAATCATAAAATCAAGATACACAATTTGGATATCAAACCTTTGACTAACGTCTGTCAACTGAGCAGCATTTTTAGCTGACATCATTTGATAGGAACTTCTCTCTCGTCCTGTGTCTTCCAATTGATTTCTCAATTCTTCTAATTGGCGCTCGTACATTGTCTTCAGAGAAAGTATTTCATCTTCCAAGATCTTTGTAGTGTTGACAAAATTGATATTATCCATGTGAATACTTTGTTCTCTCATTTGTCTCACACGCGATAAATAAGCTGCAAAACGGTCTGTGAGATTATTTAACGCATCTTTCTCTAATCTCTGAGTAACCAACGGTGTCATAGAATGACTAGAAAGCATTGTAGCAGACATCGTGAAAACTACAGCGCTTTTAAAACAGCCAGCTGGAAAATTCCAATCTCTTGCACTTCGCTCTTCGAAGGGTTAAACTTTACATACAACAAAACGTGGTTAATGATACACATATCACCATAGCAACAACTGGGTGTAATTAAATACTATGATTGGATATAAGGTCATGTATTATGTAATAGTGTCATACATTAAGTCGGCAGGTGCCCAAACGATTCGATACTTTGTCTTTGTTATGACTTTGTTAAATGTTATTAAAAACAAAAATTGTCAAAAGATTAAGATTAATAATTCGGTTGATGAGATTAGAACTCCATTGTTTTTATTTTATTGATTAAATGTAGAACTGTAAAACGACAAAAATGAGATTTTTCAGATACAATTTGCTTGAAACGACCTTGAGCTTCCCGAAGTATGATAATAATATGATAATTCGTAGAGGATCCTAAAGGATCCTTACGACCTTTTTCTCAATCAAAACTTGCTCCTTAATTCCTTTTTTTGATGTACTTAACTCGTAACTAACGTTACTATGGACTGTATGGTAAACCGAATCCCATTTTTCCAGTTCAAAAGTAGGCAAATCCCAGTTCCCATTTTATACCATCAGGACCCACTTCCTAATATTTGCTGTTGGAGAAATCTTATAAGTTACATGATACACCCTGCGAAAACGAGAGGATTTATAAAAAGCTTTCAAATTAAAGACACTATATATGACATATCTTTGTGTGCTTTTAAAATAATTTATTTGCTTGCTACGCAGGCTAGGAGAGGTCAGGAGAGTCATTCGCTGAAACCCCTCGGCCTCCGCGGAAAAAAAGCAGCTACTGATTTACCAACTGAACGTTAATCGTTGCTGGCACTACAGAAATTACGATGATTAGTAGTATCAGAGAATGTCTTGCCTTTGAAAGTGTAACATGTCTAACATGGCAGTGATACGTACCACGATTGTCGCCAATTTTTACATAATCGCGAACTGTCTGTGCCAGTGTAGGTAGTGCCAATAATGAAAAATTGGTAGGGATGCAACTATACCTGAAATATACAAGGAGAAATTCGACGTCCTTTCAAAGGCCCTTCGCCCGACGAAGGGCCTTCTCTCGAAACGACAAATTTCTCCTTGTTTTGTTAATTTTTACATAAACTACTATATTGATTATTTATGGGAGGATTCTCATTCCTATAACCCATAGGGGTCCGAAATTTAGATAGGGTTTGAAATGCAAACCGGGTTTTTTTTCAGGAAAATCCAAAATTTATTCACCTTCGCCCCCATATCTGAAAGAAACTTGAGCAGCAAGATTCCAAGTAATTTGATAACCTATATTTTAGCACAATCTAACTAACTGATATTGTGAACTGCATGTGATCGGAATTTCCTTCTACAGTATTACGCCATACATTTGCATTTCGCAAGCATGCGCAGCCGAAATTCCAAACCATGGTTTGTTGTCAAACTAGAACAGACGATTCCTGATCTTTAAGACCAAATGTTAAACTTATAATCTCTTTTCTTGTCAAGATATCCTTCTCATTACTGTCCATAATATCCACATCAGAAGGTCTTGGATTGTCATTGATATCTTCAACAAAGTGTAGGTTATCCCGCTGTCTATATATGTCATGTCCAAGTGCCTGACATTCATTAGCAGTGTAGGGCCCATGTTCTGATAATTTAGACGGTGTGTAGTTCACCATGTCTTTACTATGATTATTTTCGTAATCAGTTGTGAAATTATTTCTGGTTAGTTCGGGTGAACAAGAACGGCAAGGAATGGCGTGAATTTTAGTTCTCATATTTGAATATTGTTCGGCGTTCATTTCATATTTATTCGATCTCTGGTTTAGAACGTCAAGTGTTGATTGAAGTTGTTGCAGTTGATCGTCAAACACACTCATTTGATTATAATTTTTCTCTAACTCCACAAGCAATTTTTCCTTTGCTATTTTCTCCGTATGTAAACATGTATTCTGTCGCTTTGAAAGGCTTTTAATTGTAATAGATTGTTTCTTTAGAAGCATCCCCATTCTTGTTACTTGATTCTCGATTATTTCATCATCAGTTAAACCATCTTCAAAATCAGTATTATCATAAATCTCGATTGTTGAATCAAGCAGACTAATCCTTTCAGACAGTTCTTGTATCCTGCTATCATATACTATATCTAGTCTTGACTTGCGTGGTATATGACTCTGTCTGCTCTTGTCCATGCTACCATTACTGATGTTATTTGAGCTGTCACTTTGCTTTGCAAACAATTTGTCAAGTTTGTATTCACAGGCATTAACCTCAAAGGAATGCGGTATTTCATTCACGGGAGGTTTAATCAGAAGCTGTATGACTTCATCACACGTTGTGTGTTCATTTACATCACATAAATATTCTTTGTTGTTCAGCCATATTCCTAACTTATTCATCGACATAAGTATAAATCACGTCAGCATTACTGGCCAATAGTGAAACGTAGACGTCGAAAGTAAAGAAACATCTTTGGATATCGAACAAGAATAGCGTATAATAATCGATTAAACAACTGTTAAGTTGGCACTCAATATAAAAGCTCGAACATCAACACGATTTTGCTTGTATATGTGCCGTACGTCTGAGCCGTATTAATTCTCGAGAAAATCTCTCTTCTTGCCTATTTGAATTGTATTCATTCTACTGAAATGTGCTAAAATTCACAGCATATTGCCGTTGAAAATATTTAACACTTGTTTATATTATTAACCCAAGGTAGACTCTTGAAGGATGTAATATGAGACAGACATTAGATCTCGACTTCATGTCAAAGGATTAGCAATTAGCATGCTTAGAGAAGTATAGAATAGAATACTTTATTTCACAAGGCCAAGGGAAAACGTATTAACCATAAAAGAAAAGTGGTTTTTCTGACCCTCTGTATATTAACAGATTGACCAGATTGTATTGGCGGCACGATGGCGCATTTAGAAGATTTATAAAGTTTCTAAAAATCCTTCTTGGTCCGGTAGTTTCAACGGTGGGTTCAATTTAACCCATTGCTTTGGTTTATGCTTATTTATTTACTTTGCCATCATACTTATACTGTTATACATGCATTCATTGGCTGGGAAACCACAACAGCTATTAGTACTGTATTGCCAATTACAGCGGCCCGAAAGACGGGACACGTACTATAGAAATGATCCTAAAAAGTACGGTCTATCCGTACGTATGTTTATTTCAAAACCTTAGAAAATAAAACTTCTGATGATCCAGACAAGATTTCTGAAAAATATTTCCAAGTTAATTTATGAACAATTAGGTGCTAGGAAGTATGCTTTGAATTTCACGTTAATTAATAACCCTGCAGGGTTAACCTTTTGGAAAACCGACCCCTTGGCCTTGTCGTCAGCAACACCTACAGTACACATGGGTCATGGGAATATATAGGTTGTGTATACGTATAAAAAACAATTTCACGCAATTGTTCTCAGCCTCAAGTTAGGGCTAGATTATTTTATATTTTTGTTTGCTAAAAGTCGGGCGCACGCCTACGATTTTACACGAACGATTTATGGATTATAGGTGCATGATATATTGCATGAAACCAAAACAGAGAAGCCCAGTTGATGAGATCATATACTAGCTGTATTATTGGTTGTTTCTGGTTTTAACATGAATCTAAACCATATATCGGCCAACTAAAATCGTAGTATGTGCGACTGGCTATTAGGACATGTATATATTGTGAAATACAAAAATTCAACATTTTATGCATTACCGATAAATATCAAAACTCTGTCAAGCCAATTTGAGGAAATTCTAAATTTCTGAAAGGTATATGTATCATATGTCTTGTCTTCGGGTACTGCAGCCAGCCCATTGATGTGTTTAGAATGATCGATACAGTCAGTTGTATCTGTTTGGTTATTACAAGAAACTGACAATTGTCGTGTTGCAAAAATAGTACAATGCAGTTCCAGAAAATCTTTCAGCATTTTGTATCTTGACACAATTGCAAACTGCAGAAACTTGTGTAGTTTTCTCAAACATACTGGACAAAGAAACAGTGGTTGATTTTGAGCTTGAGAGACATTACTACTTTCGTTCATTAGACAAGAAAAAAACGTACAGTGATGCATTCCCACTAGATGGCAAACTTCGTGAGTCAGCACCTATAAATTCAATAAAATATTTTACTGAAATCATTTACAGTATACAGCCTTCATACAATGTGTATGGTCAGTTGTACCTGAACGTTTAATGATTATCTATTGTTGTATTATGTTTTATTGCCGCAGCGGTGTATTGACTATTGTCAATGAGTGTCAAATGGCGTACACACAATATGCTGGTCGTGGCAAACATTTCAAACTAAAACCAAACACGACATGTTCCGTGGCATTCGAATATATAAATTAAATATATAATTTACTAAATGCTTAATTAACGTAGGGCGGGTGAGTTATTCAAAAATGTAGGTAACGTAGGGCCGGTGCCGGTTCTTCAAAAATGGTAGGTAACGAATGTAAACATATAGGTTAGCCAATTACATGACCACTACGGTGAGCTCGTGGTGGACGTAATGTATGCTAAACACAAGTTTTGCTGCAGATAATAAAATGTCATACCTTGAGTACTCTCCAGACAACTTTATCATCAAGATTTGTGCAGTCCCAACGTGGATATTCATCGTGTTGATCACTTGATAAACAAGAAGCGACACTTGTACATGATGTCCCACTTAGGTTTCGTAAATCATCATGTACTACAGTTTCAGAATTCTTTCCAACACCTTCTTTTGTAGCAATGTCAGCGTAATGACCAAAGCTAATGACAGCACATCCAGTATCAAAACTGGCTTCACCCAGAACAAAATTTAATTCTGAGCAAGGATACAAGTCTAACGAGGACCAACCAATTGTACAGAATGAATCATTAGGTCTGACTTTGTTCAGGTAATCAAGGATATCTTAATTGGAAAGTGGCAATAATTGGTACTGTAATATATTACATAATTCGGCAATAAATATAGGAAATATTTGTAGAAAACCAAGTGAGATCGGTTGATATTCGGTTCATGATCATAACAATTAAAGAGGACGGAATTCTTGATTATACTACAGCGGCACACAGGCATCAGGTAAGCTGCAGCTTAAACAAGTTGAAAACTGGAGCACTTAGCAGGGATTCAGGTTGTCAGGAAAGAAAAAACAGAAGATGTCATGGACGAAATTGAAAGATGTAATAGAAGAAACTGAAAGATGTGAGCAGTGTTATGTGACAAAAATATGAACATTAGATTGAAAATGTACCATACTGGTATAAGCAAGGCAAGTGATGTTATACTGCATGCATGGAGCTGAAATGTGGACACTAAGGAAGGATGACAAAAATGAGAATGGTACAATGTCATGGTTACAGCTAGGAAATATCACTACGAGTACATCTTAAAATTAAAAAGCAAGAATTAAATGGTGTAGACATTGTCATTGACTAGAAAGGATGATAGAATGGATTCACTAAGAGAGCATGGAAGGCAGAGCATGGAAGGCAGAGCATGGAAGGCAGGGCTGTAGTGTGTGGAGCAAACCATATAACTGCAAGCCAGTCAGAAAATTGTGAAATCAGCAAAATTGTAAAGGTGAAGAATGATATTTGGATTACACAGTCGGTGGGAAAGTGTAGGTGTGAGGAAATTCTTGTGATCAGAACTTATGATGTCATAAGGTTAAATTAATAAGAATGTTGGGGCCAGGCTATTCTGTGGCAGACACCTGGCTTGCTGGGACAATTTGATAAATGAGGATGAGAATGGCAGTCATGCAACCTTGGTTATATAGCTGTTTTTAATGCTTCCAAAAAAAAGGTGTTCAAAAAATTTTTCCAGACAAATACCTGTAAAATCACAGGTAAAACACACTTTTTCCGATCAATACCAGTATAATTAAGGTCTAAGAATACCATTAACATTACTTAAATATATAAAAAATGTTCCAAATATTTTTTTTAATTTCACCTTTTGGGCCCCCCCTTTTGCAAATTTTGCGCCCCCCTTTTAACTGGGGGCCCCCTCTGGTAGGCCCTGGCCACCATGTTATGCACCTATTAACGTTTTCCCCCTTAGGGGGGGGGGGAGGTGCGGGCAACCCAGGGGACTTAGACTACACTATCAGGGCTGCAAATAAATATTTGACTTGACAGGACATTTGTCCGATCACTTTTAATTTTTGTCGGACATAACTTGAATTTGGTCGGACAAAAACCAACATCACTAAATTTGGTCGGACATATACTGTATACGTCACAAGATATATATAAGTCACGAGACAAGTATGTATAGCCATTCCGGCGCAACGTTAAGTAAAGTGCTAGAATGCCTCATTGCAAAATGCAAATTGAGTGAATTTGCAATCGGATTTTGTCACAGCAAAAAATGTATGTGACAATTTTTTTTTGCGATCGGACCAATGTCCGATCAAAATTACTTTTGCTCGGACATTTGCCAAATTTAGTCGGACATTGTCCGATGTCCGACAGTAATTTGCAGCCCTGTTAGTAAAGCCCCAGTGAGGGGAATTTGACCACACATCAACTCCCAGAGTTGGGAAATTTTGACATCTGCCATCTTGAAAGTTTGTGCGGTTTTGACATTAAATGGCCTGGTAACAAGTTATGGCGGAGAAGCAAGATCAAGTTTCATCGAAAAAGGTATTTATACACAGTGTCTCAATTTTTGTCAAGTTTAAACCAGTATAGACTGTATGTTCGTGTTGGAAAACATATGTGTGCCTTGTTATCTTAGGCCTAGAATGGGGAATTTTGACAGCCGTTCCTTGCCCAACAGTGGGAATTTTGACTGCAAAATTTAAAAAATGTCAAAATTCCCCTGGGCTGCCCGCACCCCCCCCCCCCCAAAAAGAAAACATTGATAGGTGCATTAATATGGTTACCTCAATTATGGCCACACTGTATACATACCAGTAACTAAGACCTGGTTCCTGTTAGTCCTACCATGAACTCTCATTGTAAAACCAAGGCTGTTGATATCTTGAAATGGTAAAAGCTTAACCTCCATGCCATAAAAGAATAAAGACATAAACTTCATGACAACATGAAGGAAGTTCGAACAGTTGTTAGGTGGTCCATTTTCTTGATTATATTCATTTATAAGACTATCAACTGTTTCTTTCTCATCTACAGTTCCCAAGGGTAAAATATACAGTATACGACCCTTAAACCGTTTTCTTTTATGTAAACTGTGTAGTTTCTGAACATCACACATAACTTTCCACTGTGGATATGTCTGACTGAGCGGTCGGGTTTTAATTTCACCTTTGGCATTGCTCCTGTCACTTCTGTCTTGGTCTCCATTGATATTGTCCATGCAATCAAAGGGACGAAATAGACCATTTGTCTGTGGACAAGAATGAAAGTTGCTACCAAGGGCAAAAAGTTGTTGAATTCCCGAAGGAAATTTCTTCAGGTTGCCAACGATTGCTCTTTGTTGAATGACCATATTTTTTGTATAAAAATATTTTCAAGTTGTTGAAATATATTTTGTTATAAACATTTTGGAAGTTTTGCGTGAACACGGAATATTTTAGGTCAGCTGTAAATGGAATGAACCAATTTAATACTTTATGTAAGGCATGCCTGACAACCTCAATGCACACAAGTGACACAACGAAATTTTAAAATTTACTTGCACGTGAGAAAACTAGGTGAAGTTCCAACACACCTTTGGCACCCACGGTAAATGTTTGGGGGTTTTTCTCCAATCTTTGTACCTTGGGTGCAGCTGCAGGCATAGGCGTACGGGAAGCAAAAAATTGGGGGGGGGGGGCAGAAAGAAATTTGCCCGACTTTTTCGGATTGTGCCCGACTAGTGCCGGAAAAATTTTTTCCGGAAAAATAATTTTTAGTTGTTTTCAATCCGATTTCAGTGTAAAAAGTATCAAATTTTCGACGAGAAATTCTAAATACTTTATTTATATTTTGCAACAATTGCTGAGCATGCGTAGAACTCACGTTGGAAATTCAACGTGAATCAATTCGATTTCTCCAGAGCTATGCCCACCCTTAACCTGCGAACGGGCATGCTCGGGGAACGAGATTGCTTGATAGGTAACATTCTCGTACCCAAAGCCTTTCAGTACGCGCGTTGCGACGAGGGCCGGGCTCTGGCCAAATCCATAACCGGATACCATAAAAACATGGTAATAGAATATATCCGGTATTAGAACAATAACCTTCATTAGCCGAATTCATATTAGGGACGGGAAACTCGTCTGCGAAAGCCCGTCTGAATATGAATTTAGGGACGGGGAAATTCGAATTTAAGACGAGTTTCCCGTCTAGACGAGATTTCCGTCTAACTTTCCCGTCTGTTTAGACGGGTAAGTTAGACGGGAAAGTTCGGACGGGAAACTCGTCTGCGCCCGGATTCATATTAGACGAGTTTCCCGTCTGAGACGAGTTTCCCGTCTCTAATATGAATTCGGCTATTGTCGCCAATCAGATGCCAGTTTGATATGGATTTGGCCAGAGCCTCTCCTCGCACTCCGTTGACCGCGCGTAAGAATGGCTCTGGGTACGAGAATGGATAGGTAAGCCATATAATTCTAAAAATAAAGTTCACATCTGCATGCTCAACCTCGTGCCCAGGGCATTTTGCCTCCACGGCTGAAGGTCGGCGACTTTCAGCCGTGGGGCCAAAATGCCCTGGGGACGAGGTTGCTGCATGCTCTAAGTCTAAGAAGATTATCTATTTCTGCCTTCCTTGACATATCATGGCTTAAATATTCGCTCACAACTCTTCAAAATTCTCACCTGTGCTTATCCACATATTATTTCCATACGTGTTGTTTTCCGTCTTTCTTGCCGTCTTACTAGTAGCTTCTTTCCTTTTAAAGACAATATTCCCTTTGAATGCTGTTCTTAGGGGTTAGTAATCCAAGTGAGTATATAGTATACATTTTTAAGACCTGACCAGGAACGACTGCGAAAAATGCAGCACAAGGTCTTCTGGCAGGAATTGAACCTACGGCCCTGCGATTCCGGTGCAGCGCTCTAACCAACTGAGCTACAGAGGCCAGCTGTTTAGCTGTAACCGCAAGTTCATGTATATATAGGTGATCGGGTGTGCTGGCCGTGATAAGGTGGACCTCAATGATCTGGTTTCTTGCACTTCACTTGGTGGCAGAGGCGTAGCCAGGATTTTCGGTCAGAGGGGGCCGACAAAAACCCAGGTGGGGCCAAGCCACCAATGACTCGAGACGCAAAGTTCGCGCTAGAAAACATTTTGCGGACCACACAAAATTTTAAATCTGTCGACAACTTTTCGGTAAAAAAATTTTCTGGACAATAACATTACAATTGCTTTCATAGCACTTTTCCGATTTCCGTATCACTTTTTCCGATGCTTCACCACGAAGATTCCGACAACATTAGAGAGTTTGAGCGGAGAACGAAGTCGGACGACGACGACGACATGGACCGTGGTTGACAATTTTTGCCTGTCTTGCACATTATCTTACGCATTCTGAGTTTAGAGTCAGGCGTGAAGACAGATTAGAGATTTATGTCTAGCTGTTTATGAATACTGACCCAAATCCTTACCCTGATCAGGACAAAACAGCGAGACATGAATCCATATCTCGTCTTCGTTCTTCTGCCTTCGTTCACAACGAAAAATTCGCAAATATTTTGGCAAAATTCGTTGTGAACGTCGTTCGAACGACGGCAGAAGGACAAAGACGGGATATAGTTTCATGTCTTGCTGTTTTTTTCTGGGCCAGGGCAAGAATTAGGTCAGTAATCATAAACAGCGACACATGGGAAGACACGTTGAGGAACCACAAGTGACGTCCAACACAGTATGCGCAAGATAATGTGCAGACGGCAAAAATTGGAAACTATACGCCTTCGTCTTCGTACTTCGTTGTCTTGCTCAAACTCTCTATTGCCAATTTTCCGAAAGATCTCAATTTTCCGACGGGTCTCCCCTCCCCCCCCCCCCCCCCCCCCCCCCCC